GTGAGAAATTCTTGACAAAGAAGAGTGTCAATAAGTGACCGATAAAGGGATCTCTCAGGGATTAAAGTACTTGTAAAGAATTCCGAATAAAATGATGTATGAAAATTCAAATAGGAATTTGCTATTTCGCTAGGCACTCCTTTTTATGGAGCTTCGTCAGGATTTTATGGGTACCATGTAAAGTCCTATACGCAAGAAAAAGTGCGTGGGAAGATTTTACGATGAATCTCTGCTTCGATGGGGTATTTCAGGTGAACTTATGTATAAATGATCGTTTCTCAGGGCTGGTGGGAATTTATTTGCTTAATAAATTTAGGCTAATGTTGGTTAACGACGAATTTCCCGACACTGTAGAGGCGCAAAAGGTATAAGCGGTAAGTGACAGTCTGAGTGAAACATCGGCGAAGATTCCCTCTTGGGCCCGGCGATAATGGAAGCTGCGAGGACCCATTAATCCCGGTAAGCGGTGTAACTCGACCGCCATCTCGCAACTATTAAATATTTCTGAAATTGATGCGAGCCCCGTCGAGGGAGGAACGAAGGACAAGAAAGGGGTTGGATTCCGGTTGGCACCCAGGACCGCGGAATGCAGAATTTCTATGAAGATTCCTCCTTCGACTATAATTCATCAGTGATGGCGGCGGGTTTTAGGTGGCTAGCCAGTGCAGATAGAGAGGTAGAAAGCCTGCAGTTGCAAACCGGAGAGGGAGACAATTGGGGTAGGTTAGGCGAAAAGGGGGTGATATACCTAAGGGGTGGCAATGCTGTCGATATTTCGGCAAGATATGGATCGAGATGCTGGGAGATAATGGACCAGGCTTTTTGTCCATACCAAAATCATTACCATGGCTTGAGGTGATGTCCTAAAAGGATCTTCTCCATTCCTGGCGCTTGCAAAGCGACATAAAGGAAACGCTTCGAAATCTCTACAAAATTCAGTGTAATTATATTTTCAGTATGTAAATTTATCAGAATATTTTTCTTTAACTCCTGAAAAATATTGCTCATCTGGATAAGATTCATCGATATCAGTGGCGACGCTTTTTGGGTTCTGAACTCCATTTAGATCGAGAGATGGAAACTAGCAGGGGTGGAACAATGAGTCCCTTGGGATATGTTATGTACCACGGTATGTTATATCTACGAGGTGGAAAGGAAATGGTAGATATTTCGTCTGCACGTGAATCGAGGTGCTGGGAGATAATGAACCAGGCTTTTTGTTCTGACCACAATTATTATCATGACGCGAGGTGATATCCTGGAAGGATCTCTAGTCCTGACGCACGAGCAGCGATACGGAAGGACTATCTCAAAATCTCTACAAAATTCAGAGTAATAATTTGTGTAGGATTTAAATTTGCAAAATATTTATTTCCGTTATCGATGGAGATTTCTAGCACGGTTATAATTCATCGATATCAGTGGCGATGCTTTTGGGAAGCTCCAATCCATTTAGATCGAGAGATGGAAACTCCGCAAGGGTTAGACTAAGAGATACTTGAGGTAGGTTAGGCACCAGGGAAGAGCCATCCGGTGTTATACCTACAGGTTGGCAATAATACCGTCATATCGATCGGGTGAGGATCGAGATGCAGTCAGCTAATGGAATAGACTTCTGGCTCCGAGCACAATTGCCTTACCCAGCCTTGAATCCGATTGGCCAAGTTTGCCAAATTCTACAACGCCTCTGCGTGTCAGCCTAACAGTCTAAAGGATCCTCAAATATTCCTCGTCAAGGGCCCACTATAGACATTAATTTATCAATTTCTCGTTTCGTAATAATAGAGTCATGCGTACCCGAGCTACCTGCGCAATTAATTATGGCGACATTCCGGGCGCATGTAACTACAAGTACGTAGCTTCTCGGTACATCGGTCGCACCGTGTAACGTAAATTGCGAGGTTGTACGTTTTCGATGCATATCGTATTACGTTATGAATCCCTGCAAATACTAGGGCCATGTATGCAAGGATTATTTGTAATTACGAGAACGAACGGTACGCTCCTTACTCTCTAATTGCACAGAAATCATTTATCAAATCCTTGACCCGCGCTGCTGAGCGCATAAAAACGTTACCTTCAAAATGATTTCATCTTCATAATGTAATATTAATATTCCCTCGTGAATAACTTTCAATTAAATTTCTGCAATTACAATATTACACCGGGAGGTGAGGGGGATCAATTTCGCCCGTGACTCTGGTTAACCGGCGCGCCACTAATTACACGTGATAAAGAATTCCAGGATAATGCCTAGGAATAATAATTATCTTTTGTGCAAGGAACGCGACCGACTCAGTCAACCTGGAATATTGTTCAGGGCAAGTAACTTCAAGCAGTAGGTCTGAAATCGGATCCGCGAGCAGACTCTCGCCGCTCAGCCTCCTCTCTACCATTGAAGCATTTAATTCGCTTCATTAACAGCAAGCATTCGCGAGAAGACATCACGAGACGCTCCAATGATTCATTTACCCACCCGACCATTCACGGCTCGAGTCGTCCATTTACGAACTGGGTCTTCGTATAAAACTCAATGACTATAAACCCGAGGCGGAGTTTAACAAAAAAAAAAAAAGAAAACAGAAAGAAAGGGGTTCCGCCCAGGAAAAGTTCCTTTCCGTTTCTTTCCCCTGGGGGCATTGAATTGCACGTAAAATGTGCCGAATGACTGTCGAATGCACCTCGTCGGGATTTTTTTCCCCATCCCGAAGTTGGATTTAATCGAGCCGGAACTGACCTATCTCTCGCCGAATCGGACTTCTTTGAGTTGGGATTTTCTCCTCGCGCTATTTCGGAAATAATTGATCCGGTGCCTTGCTCGGGCACTTTTTTCATATCGTTACCGGGCGGAGGAGTGCTTTTGTCATTGCGCTCCTTGGCGACCGTGCCATTCCTAATTGCTCCAGAGCAATTAAAAAGCCCGATTGAGAGAGACTCGCCTCGGCTCGACGCGCTTCCCTGCGTCAAGAAGCTCTAATGCATCCCTCTGAGCAGGGGATTATTCCTCGAATTTATCCGTCGGAGATTTTTGCGCCGAATTTCATGAATTGCTTCACGTTCGATCGGTATTTTTCTATAATTTAATTCAAGGTCCTTACACTTTTTTTAGAGTCTTTTCGAAACCAGACATTCCCTTCCTCGTCAAGCTTTAAAGCATCCTTTTGAATTCAAGAATACTTCTCGAATGTACATATCAGAGTTTTTTCGCCGTATTTCACGAATTGCTTCGCGTTCGATCGGTATTTCTCTACTATTTCGGTTCAAAGTTGTTTCACTTATTTAGTTTTCTTTTTTTTTCCCCGATACCAGACGTTTTCCTCAAGCTCTAATGCACCCCGTTGAAATGGGGATTATTCCTCGAATATATACGTCGGAGATTTTTCGCCGAATTTCACAAATTGCTTCGCGCTTGATTGGTATTTTCCTACAATTTCAATTAACGGTTGTTACAGATCTTTTGATACTTTCTCTACAAGTCCTAAACTAAATGCAAATTTTTCAGGAAAGAGGATCCAGCGTTCTAGTTTCAAGAATTAATTTTTTCTTCCTGGATATTGAACGTGCCAATAAATGACATCGATAATATAATGGAATTAAGGAGTTGAAAATTAACTTTCGTTTATTTATGAAAACAGTAAATTATTGTTCCAGAGGACATTGAACGTGAATTTCTGAGCCAGTGTTGGTGTTCTCTTATGGGGGATGTTCAAGGGGGCATTTCCGGAACTACTTGGATATCTGAATGCACGAATGGCGACATTTTTCCGGAAGTTTTATACTGAAAGTTGAGGCGAGACAAATGTCTCTCGGGGTTGAAGATCCGCCATTTGATGTGGTGGTCGTCGACTGGGGTAGTCGTCCTTAACAGTGCTGACAACAAACTCCCCGAACTCGGCGTCCATTGTTCCCTTAAACTATTATAGTTTGTCTGGCCGGAAATGGAGTTTCAAAAGCTGCGATAATCGACCCGTCCTCAGGGTTCTTCGAAGAGAGGCACGCACGAGTGGTATTAGCCAAATAAATCTAAACTTGGGCAGAAAATTACCTCCTCCTGCAAATTTCGCGTAATCCGGCCCTATTTCGAGACTGCTCGCGTATTTACCTCCGCAAATTTGAAGAACTTCGCCTACCAAAAGTCCTTCCCATCGGCAAATTTTATTGCTAATCCAAACTAATACTTTCAACGATATAATAAAATAGTTGCAAAACGAAGAGCTCAAATGGAGATAGGCAGCTCCTCGAAGAGCCGGGAAAGTTGAAATTGAATAAAAATTGACTGTCGCTCTTCTAATGGATAAGTAAATCCCTGTCTTGAGTAACTAAATTTGTGTCAGCTTCCCATTAATTAATTCAACCTATACGTGATCGAAGGATCGAGCAATAGTTTTATAATGTAAATAACTTTTTTAATACCGTTAGGGAAATACTGCGACCGAGGTCGGCGTAAGGGATGAAATAGTACCGTATACAAGGAATAATGTATACATCGTGCACCTCCGATGTAATATCCATCAGAAATTGCAAGAGCGATGAGACGATCGCCTCGACGGGATGAAAATGTAAAGTGGAAGTGCAATCGACGGCTCGATTATCCTTAAACAGGGCGCGTGTCATCCTCGCACAATTTCGAAACAAAGTGGTCGTAACGTCATTCCCTTCGGTCCACCGTTGTCCTATTTTTTTTCTTTTTTTCAGAAGTACTCCTTTCGATGTGCCTCCAGTTCGATTAACAATTTACGAAAGTTCGACGAGTCGAGTGAAATCCATGATAGATGCTTATTTCATGCTATCTTTATCAGTTGCTTCCTTTCAGTTTCTAGCCATGGGTTCATTAGCAACACTTCCAGACATTACCGAAACTAGTCTCTCCAGCAGGTTAAAAAAAAGAACTGACATACAGGGAAGGTTTCCGTTGTAAATCCCGGACTCATTTTAGATTCATGAATTCCTCTCGTTAGATTTTCAACCTTTTCCGACGCTTTTCTATTTCCTGCTTGCAGGTGATCTCGGAGTACTGTCGAACGCGGCTGCAATCGAAGCCGTTTACGCACATCGTGATGGACATGTACAGAGAAGTGGTGCGATCGCCCCAATTCGCGGCGCGAAAGCGACTCGTCTTCCAGCAAACGCGATTGACAGTTCCACCCCAGATAGCCCATCACCAGCACCCCCAGATGCAGCCCCACCAGCCCCACCATCAGCACCACCACCAGCCTCACCAGCACCACCAGCAGGACCATCAACCACAGAATCAGCAGCTGCAAAATTACCAGACCCACCAGGCACAAAATCATCAATCGCATCAGACACAAAGCCAGCATCAGCAGTCGTCCCACTTCTCGAAGCACCAGGCCAAGGGTGCGCTTTTCAAGGCCCAGTCCCGCAATTCAAGGTCCCATCCGAATCTCCTCAGTCTGTCGGGGTACGACATACCTCTCGGCGAGGTAGCGAGGCCAGAATTCCAGTCGCAGTTGAACATTCAAGCCAGCTATGGGGTCCCAGCAGTTCGCCATGCCAGGACGAATTCCCAGCCGGAGTACTCCGATCGCGGGCGCCTCCCTCAGACCACCAGCAGCCAGGACTTCCTCGAGGCGGAGTCCAACCGGAATTCTCAGCTGTATTCCGGGAATATCTACAGTGACCCCATCTACGCACTTCCGGTCAAGCCGTTCCTCAGCTCGCAAGACGTCAGGGTGAACGGCTTCTCCGCGAAACCTCTGCCTAGGAATGATATCTATGCCACGGCTAATGGAGGTAAGACTATGGAATTATTGATTAATGCAGATAGAGGTGGAGATGGATACATGGTATCGACAACTCCCATACATTCTATGGAAGGTACAGAACTATTATAAACATGGAACGGATGGTAGAGAGTCTTCGATGATCCCATAACGCGCAACGATTTTTCGTCTGGACCTCGAAAGGGTCCAGGGTACCCTGAGAAAAAACACTCATTAAAGCGAAGAAATATATTGTTAATTCAAAGAGTAATTATTTAACTCAAACTCAAATAAATTGCCGTAATCCCGAAGAAACAATGAATTCGAGTTCATTCGAGTTAAATGATTATTCTTTGAATGAATAAAATATTATAAGAGTGGAAATTAAAAAGAATATATGTGTTTCTTTGGTCCGATGGATTTTTTTTTCTCCATGTATGTCGCTGTTTCGACTTTTCTACATGGATCCTGCCTTTCCACAGTGTACGCCACGCCGAGGGGTCCCGACACCAGGAGCGCCATCAACTCGCAGCCCAACATCGCCCACTCGGCCCAGGTCATGAACGGCTTGGTACACTCGAAAGAGGACGTGTACTCGAGGATCCCAAAGTGCGATCCAGGGCTGGATCGACAGTACTCGAACCCCCAGCTGCCCTATAGGAGCCAGGAGTCCAATTTCCGACATTCGTCCCAGCCCAACGTGGCGTCCGGCCAGCTTCAGGTGTACCCAGGGCCAACCGGACAGCAGCAGGCCCAGTCGAAACAACAAAATCCACTGTCTTCCATTAACCCGAGGAGCCTGCCGGCAGGTACGGTGCCGCCGAAGCCGCCGAGGATCATCACGACTCTGAAGAAGACGACCCCGCGTCCAGACTTGGCGGACCCCTCGGTACCACCCGCGAAACCACCAAGGTTCGTCCTTTCTCGTTCACCCGGTCGACTCGTGATGTATGGCGCGAATTCGAGGCTGCTCTGCTCGCGGGATGAAAAGAGAGGAAACCGGAATGGGGATCGATCGCGTTTGGGGATGGAATTCCAGCCGCCCCGGTGAACGCGCCAACCCCGACGCGTAGGTGTCGCGACGACCTCCTTTATCGCTCACTTGCGCATGAAAAGCATTTTCCTAAATGCGACGTCGGAGACGTGGGAGGTCGCCCGAACCGGGAAACGTAGAAAACGGGGCCAATTGATTCGGCGACCTTCCCGAAGCGGGATATTTGGGGGAAAGAGGACGTTTCCAGGATATTTCCGCGGCGTGTTTCCTTCATCCGGAACTGACTCCGTGTAACGACATCGTGACGAGAATTGGGTCTTGCACGTCTACATTATATTTTGGTTCGTGGGAGAGATAGGAGAAGGGCGGATTTATGTCTCGTGAAATGTGCAACGGAAGAATGTGGGTGATTTGTTTTAGCTGGCTCTCGCAATGGCGTCTGTACTCGGGGTTTAATTAAATTTTCAGCCACTTCGTTATCGGCCTCGCTCGGTGCTGCGGGAACCTCGTGCGGTCCTTCTAGTCAATAGGTTGTTAGAAGATGATAGAGGGGGTTTGGTTATACACTTTCAAAGTGAGCCGATTTTCTTGCAAGTTCGGCGAATTTACATGTCGCGTAAATAATCTTTGCGAGGGAAATTAAGCGCCCGTCTTTCTTTTTACATGCGCAGTTTTTAATTGCTAAAGGTCTTTAACTGTGATTCTTTAGGATCGGCCTTAAAAACGGACCAAGGGCTCGGCGTGGAAAAGCGGTCCAGAGAGCACCGTCTCGCCTTTACAGAGCCATTGGTGGATCGTCAAGGTGTTTTAACAAGACGCAATGCGTTGGTCCGGAATTTGTAATTCGCGCCAACCAGCCGCCTAAAGTTCTCAACGTCGGAGATGTAAAGGTACGAAGTTTAATTAAAATCAGGTTACTAGAAATCATTCCGTAAATATACACTCCTTCGGCAGCTTCGCGTTTCTCGAAAATTGCTGTTGAAAAGAAAAAAAAAATTTCTTCCGGTACCGGGAATCGAACCCGAGCCTCCTGGGTGAGAGCCAGGTATCCTAGCCACTAGACCATACCGGAGGTTATAAACGCGATCTGAACATTGTGTTTATAAATAAATGATTCTATTTTTAAATGTTTACGTTAATGTCGCTTTTGCTTCAATTAACACTTTAATGCATTATTACGTTACATGTAATAGTTATGACCTACTCTATGAGGACAGTTTAAAGAACTGTCACAATAACGTCAGGATGGCCGAGCGGTCTAAGGCGCTGCGTTCAGGTCGCAGTCCACTTCTGTGGGCGTGGGTTCGAATCCCACTTCTGACAAATTTTTTTTTCCTGTGACAAATTTTGGTTATCACCTATTAAGAGTAATTAGTTCATCTGATTGGTCTCTTTTTACCCCATCATAATTTTTTCTTACCGAATACGGAGTATAATTCAGGCTGGAGAATATTTGGATGCGCGTGCTTGAATCCGTACTCTCGACACGAATAAGTTTTCATTTTCCTGAATCGTTACTTCATTGTTTCCGTGTACCCGGGAGAATTATCAAAGCGGTATCTCTTGCATCTGATTAATATTGTTTTGCATTTCAGAACGCCAACGTCGGTCGGATAATCGTTATAATGCTAACTGGGCAACGCCTCGAAGTAACTTGCGACTCTCAGAGAATTACAGCCGGAGAATTGTTTCAGGTGGGTGTTGCATACAAAGTTTCTGCATAACGAATGAACAACGGTACCCCATAATCCGTTGTACGATTCCGTTTCCCGCTATGGGAATAATTTTATTTAAAGAACTTCTCTTCTCAGTGGGAATAATCAAACCCGAAGGAACGTGATACCAGCGTATCGATTTCACATCGAGTACACGTAACAGGTGGAATTGACGATCTTTGAGGAGTGATAATTATCATCGGGATCCCCATATGACGTGATAAAAGGTTATTTCAAACTGGACGTTATTCATAGCATCCCTTGTGGATATGGACTCCAATGGTCGTAGGGTATCACTGTACTCACTTCATCAAAAAATTCACTTAAATAATTCCTATTTTCATGTAACAAATCAACTCGCCCTTTATGGGATCCCAGATTCGTAATAAACACTTCAAGCAACATTAACAAAATTATTAGTCCAATCTATGTAATTTGTGGGAAGCCGTGGGAGAAAGTAGACAAGAAAGATAAAGCCCGTAGAAAGACAAAGGCTTTTGGAGATGAATTACACCGATGTGCACGAGACGAGAGACGCGTTCCTACTGACAATCGCTATCTTTTCTGACCCCTTCTCCACGTCTCAAGATTTCTAGGAAAAATCATTGTGCTGCCAGAACAAATGTAAATTTGATAACCCGAAATTGAACACGAGGAGATTAGATTTGTTGCCCGACGTCTCGAGTTAATTTCACTCCTTATCGCCGGTTTAGGGTTCTGATACCAACAAAACGTCGATCCCTCATCCTGATCCCTTGGCTGTGTTTAGACGACTAACAGAGGAAGAATTTTCTCGAGGCATAATAATGAAGCGATCGCTACAAATCTGTGAAGTATCTCAGAAGAAAAAATGTCAAAAGACTCCGAATATTTGTCCCGTCGATCGGGAATACCCGTGATACTAACCGTAGTATTTATAAAATTACCGAATAACTTGCTTTAACATCGGATATAGATAAAAGTTTCATGAAACCACTTCGAAGATTTCGACCAATTTGATCGGCACCAATAATGGCAGGTGTAAATATGAGATGCAGATGGACTCGAAACTATTGGGGAAATATGGCGGGAATTATTCGGACTATAAAACGCGCAGAAAATGATCACCAGCCGGGTATCGGGCGATGGTGAAAACAGTCGCGTAAAAACTGCTGGGGCTCGATGAAGGGTATAATTCATTTGGCAAACCGGGGCAGTGATCAGCGGGACGGAGTGTCCGGGCCCGATAAGCGATCCAATTCATCGGGCAATTATCACGGCGAGAAATTTTCAATCGGCCGGCGGAATCCCCGAGGTCGGTGCATTTCCGAACTTATTCGGCTGCGTAGGCATAATATGGCCGAGTGCACCGGCGCGGATGCAATTGGTGCGCTTCCTTGGTTTTCGGGCACCGAAAATGCACAAAGTCGGTCGGGTCAAGATGCAGTTGTTTACGATCTCACAAATCCCGACTCCCATCGAGGACTCGCTGAACTTTTGGCCCCTTGCCAGAACTAATCACTATTTACGACCAATCGATAAGGCGCCAAGTGATGCAAGTGCTCTCTTCGAGTATTTAACAAAATCCCGGGAAAAGAAAAGATGACTTTTTAAGAGGGTAGAAAGGAGGAAGGTTGGAGAGAAGAAGTTACTGATAAGAATCGCCGGTTTGCGGGGGTTCCATTAAATATTTCCTGAATTTATGAAAGTTTCATACCCGAACGATGACCTAAATAATTCCAATTCAAGTTCTCGAAGCACTTTAGCGCGAGATGCTCCACTGATAATTATTTTCGGGTTAATTGTGCAGCACCCCTTATCGCATTGGTATGCTTTAATATAATTAATCATTCATAAAATGGTTATACGGTGCTGGCTTTAATTTTGTATAGAATATCAATTTCGGATTAAAGTCGAATATTAATACCCACGGGTTGTCAGTACTCGCTTAAAAATTGCTCGCTAATTGCACTTGACCACTAAAAGGTTAAACAAGGTACATTCGCACACCTGAAGTAGTTAGAAGAAATCATGAACAGTCATGAGTCTTCGAAACTATCGAGGTGCCCCTCGGTACAGAGTTTGCTGCAATTATTCGCTAAGTACTCCGGGAAACGTCGAAACTTTAATTGCACGGGTTGGTCAAATAATTCGAGGGCCGGTTTCGATGCCCCTTATCGACCGTCCATTCGGACGTTCAATTCCAGGGTGCCTCAAAAAACTTGGGATATTATAATTGTCTTCCTGAAGAGGATGACTCAGATACCGCTAACTTCGGGGTAAGTTTAGGAAGGGCTCGGAAAAGTCAGTTAAGCGGGTGAACTTTAGTTTCCGCTCTCAGGAGAATTTCTGATTACTTGTGAAGTCGGATTTTGATTTAAATACCGGGATCAAGATGGAAGTCGGGCCAAGAGAAGGAATATCTTCGGAACATGTTGCTCATTATTGCCGTTAAATCGTTAAACTCGTGCCGAGCGAGTGCTCGAAATAGGGATGGTCAGTTATTAGGATCTCTGAAAAAGTCATTGATCTCGTTTCAGGCGATCGTCCAGACGGAAGAACTCGACGAGAACTTTACTCTAGGATTGGCGGCACTTTTGGCCGGTGATTTTGCCATTTTACCTCCTGACACGAAGTTGAACAAGGTGGCACCTCCGGGCTGGTTGAACAGCGTGAAGAGCAAAGGTCTGCTGGGGCTCCCAACTAGTTTTATGCTCTACTTAAGGCTACGATTCTTTTTACCTTCTTTGCGTGGAATCAGGTAATTGCTGAGTTTCTGGATACTTTAAGATATTTTATAGCTCGCCGAAAGTTGTCTTTCCGTCCAATTAAATATCCATTCGTGGTTTAATCATATTTAATCATTCTTTCTTCTGTAATTCCCAATAGAAGCTGGATTTCGAAGCACCTGCTGTACCTACAAATCCGTCGGTGCATTTTGGAGCAGCAGCTGGTGTGCTCTTTGGCTCAGCTGATCAACTTGACTGGCCTTGCTCTTCAGGCAGAATTTGGCAACTACAGCGTAAACGTAAGCACCTAAATAATGCAATTACCTTACGCAACGTAAACCCCGACCAAAATTTCCGCCTGTGAGGCATCAGTCAGATTTCCCTGAGGTTCCTAATAATTTAATCAGAGTAACTTAAATCGCGGAGGAAATTGGAAGTAGGATGCGACTATGCGGACATTTATTCAGCTCGTAGGTATTAATCGAATAATGAAATTCAAATCGAAGAATAGCTCACGTGGCATTATCTGCATTTCGCAAGCTGTCGCCAAAGCTGCAGCAGCCCCCAGAGTTTCATCCGCGGACGGTTGATAATTAATGTCGCAGATATTGACAGAACGAACGTGGGGTGCAGTAAATACACAATGACAAAATAGATCCATCAGGCGATCCAGGCGAGACCCAATTTATAACGGAGCAGGTGGTCCAAAATCCCGACAACAAATCGCGCCGATCGCTCAGCGAGACTTCTCTTAATATTCCCTCTCAAGATGGACCGAACCATAATCTTAATCTTAATCTGCGCGTAATTAATTCCAGGAGCACGGTCGCGGGGATTACTTCCTGCTGGAGCATTACATCCCGGAGTCCTTGATCCTGGTTGACCAAACACAGCTGCAACTCCCTGGAGAAGCGGAGGCGCTCAAGATGCGTCTTCATCAAGCCCATCGGGACAGGAGAGGACTAGACGCCAACAAGGCTGAAGAGATGTTCATAGTCCACGCCCAAGCATTGCCGGACTACGGATCGCATTACTACATCGCGACGATAGACACGAAGGAGCTGGGCAAGATCGTCTCCCAGCAGAGGAAGAACCAGGAGAACCTGGAGACCGATAGGCTGTACGCGGAACCAAACAACATCTACGAGCTGGAGAGGTCTTCCGAATATCCCGTCTATGGGAGGATAGAATTTCCGAAATTCGGCTCCAGGGAGAATCTGCAACCGGTTCCCTTTGGTGACGAGCAGAAGATGAAGTCGCCAAAGAGTGGGAGTCTGAACGACGGCGTGTACTCGAAACCTAAGAGTCCTCTGAGGGTATCCAGGACGGAGCCCAACAATAATAACAGAGGAAGCAACAACAGGACCTGCAAGTCGAAGAAGACGGAGAGTAACGTGTGGTTGGCCATTCATGCCCAAGGACTGAAGCTGTTGGACCGAGGAGGTCGACCCAGGGAACGAGTCGAGCTGGCCAGGTTTCAGTGGAGGGACATTCAGACCCTGAGCTACAACAAGAGTTGCCTGGTGATATACAGCAGACTGAACGGCAAGCGCTGCAAGTTCAAGCTCAGAATGGATCACAGGAAGTAAGTGGAGGTCCCGTCGATGTCGAAGAAGGGTTCAATCGATGGGTTCCTGAGGGTCTCAGAGGGGATTGTTTGTTTTAGGTCCTACTTTGCCTTCAAGCTCACCTCGCTGCATCATCAGTTCTTCCTGAAACTTCGCTCGGAGCTCACCTCGCTTCAGGGATTAGCGACAGGCACGTCTCTTCCTCCTGCAGATTATGTCACTGGGTCCGGGCCCGAGTCCTAAGTAGTTTAAATCGCAGCCTCGTCTGGTTTCGTCGGGTCGGGCGAACTTGGAGGAGAGTCGAAGACGATCCAGAAGAGGGGATCAACGGTTGCCCGATAACGTCTGGATTTTTCTTTCAGATTTTGGAGTGCCCCTGATCGTCGAGCCGAACTCGCCGCCCCCCAAACTGAAGCCGGACAACGGAAAGACTAAGATATCCATAGCGAACTCCGTGAAGAAGCAGAGGAACTTGAAGTGCACCATGCAGCTGGAGGAGTTCCAGAACAAAGAGAACGAGAATCCCCAGAAGGACTCGAATCAGCTCCCGAATTGCAACAGTACACCTGTTCACGAGCCCGTCTGCTACACCCCCGAAGACGATGCTCTTTACGCACAAGTGAACGCGAGGTTAGAACCCGAAGGAGAATCTAGAGACACCGAAGACGAGTTCGATAGAGGAATGATCGCAAGGGCAGACCTAGCCGTGGAGCAACAAGAACCTGAGAAGGTATTCGAAGGCGACGAGCTTTACAGTCGTCCAAAGCTTGATTTTAGGGAAAAAGAGAGCGCTTATTCGGTTCCCAAACCATCATCGCTCAGTGAAGACTGTCTGAGCGTAAAGACGGAGAAACCCGAAGAGCTGTATGCAGCTATTAACAAAAGTGGACTACCAAAGAAAAATGACTTCCCCGTTCCCGAAGAGGTGTGGGACGTCATGGACGCGAAAAAGGCGCTCCACAAGGTAATCGATTTTAATCGGTGCAAATTAATTGGCGCTGTTCAGGTTACTCCAGAGTGCTGAGCAAAAGAAAACCGTGTTGAGGACTTTTTTTAATGCACTTGGCATCGTGATAATAGTCCCGTGAATGAAGCACGCCGGGCGTAATCCGATTTGCTGACTCAGCCGCCATGCCGGATGGAATTAGCTCTCGCTTAATATTCAATTAATTCCATTTTATAGGTGAAGACATCTAGTTTACCGAATTACGGTTCGCCGAGGCAATCCAGTGGATTTCGCACCCCTAGCCTGCCACGCCGACTAGGCGTCAAAATGGGAACTCGGGCCATCTACAGTTCCCTCGTTCAGAGGGATCTCGCCCTTGCCGACGACCTGGAATCGATGTCTCTCAAGTCGGACACAGCATCCTCCCTGAGATCCGCTTCCGCGAGATCAACGGAGTCCCCCATGCCCGAGGCATACGTTCTCAGTCAGTAAATCACGTACTTCTCGCAATAATTACGATCAAGATTCACGAAATTCAGTAAAAGTCCACCCGAATTCAGAAATCCAAAATAGCCGAAACGATTTATAAAACAATTTTCATGAACGAAGTGCTAAAGGACCTTCTTATCGCCCGAGAACAACGTACCGACTGTGACGTCGTTTAGTTAACTTTTTTTTTTTACTAATTCTCTGGATTCTTAGACTTCAATGACGGAGTTGGGCAGTTTCTGATTATTTATGGGAATTTCACTTAAAATAGAAATCTTGATTTTATATGTTTTTTCTTTTCTTATATTAATGTAACTTGATCTTTTTGTGTTTTTGAATGCAGATACGGATATCAGGACGAATGACGAGACCTTCCGAGTCCCGGATGACGAGACCATGTCCTCGTCGCTAGCCGCGAGGTTGGAGGAGCTGTCCTTTGCCGAAGAGAGGATTCTGCACACCATAAAACTAGAGAGAGGACACGGGGGTAGCATAGGGTTGCAAGTGACGGAGGGTAACGATGGTGGAGTCTACGTCCAGGCAGTTTCGGTCGGTGGATCAGCCGATATGGCAGGAAACGTGAACAAGGGTACAGACATTCGCCTCTATATCTCCCAATTTTGTCCTTTATTGGCAGTCGATGCAAACTTCCTTCCCCATGGATTTTAACCCGGGTAAAAATTTCTTTTCATAATTCAGGTGACCGAATCGTGGCTATAAACGGCCAAAGCTTGCTGAATTTTAGATACGAAGAGGCTCTGAAGATGCTGCAGAACTCGCCGGAAATGGTGGAGCTGGTCCTCTCACAAATAACGAATCGAAAGTACGACCTGAGACAAAACGAAAAACTTGCGAGCGTCGACAGGAATTACATGCAGTAAGTGTTCTCCAAAATGGCGGACTGCGTATCAAATACAATTGAGATTTAGAACCACTACTTGAATTGTTTAACACGTCGTTATCGCTCTATTTGCTGAATCTTTTGGACATTTGCAACGGGTAATTATGATCCTTCCAGAGACATCAGATTCGACGTCTCGTCCGAAGCTGAGACTTCAAGTATGACCACGAAGTGGTTGGCCCAGAAAACGGCGGACGTGGCGTCTGTACAAAATACATCGAGTGCATACAGCAGCGCAGCTTCCAGTGCAATGGACAACCACAATGCAAACAGTTTGTACACAACGGAAGTGGTCGACACGAACGGCTTCAACTCCGCCAGTATGCTCCTCAGCATCGAGGACTTTGATCTCAGCCGAACGAGTCGTCAAGTTTTTATTTAGGTGATAAGGTAGGTACTCTCCTTTTTATCTTTCTTGAGAGGAAAATGTCCTTTCGGACGCGGAGAAAGGCCACCGAGACTCGAAAACAGGAGCTCCAATCACTGATCCAATTACTCTCATCCATTTAGCGAAGCCCTTCCCGGAGCAACGAAGTGACTTCATTTGCCACTTCTACCAACTACCAGATATTATTAAATGAGACTACAATTTCGGACCGTTTGATTTTCCTATAAAACGGGGGACGAGCAATTAACCCCATTAATTAGATTTAATCAGATTGACCCACTTCGGCATTTCGAGTATCTGCGGGGAACTATTGAACAGACCAACTGGAGATTCGAACCGCGAAGACGATCGAACTTCATATCTGTTTCGTGAATTACGGCGCTAGTTACTCCCAAATTTGGAAATTATTGACCATTGTGAGAATCTACGCCTCTTATAGGTGTACTTCTCCCTTACGCATTCCTGACAAAAGTATCGAATTTTAATAGAGTCAACGAATAAGTATTCAGATTTAATTTGGAATTCAAAGTAGAGACAGGGTACACTGTACAGAGAAATTTCAGAATTATTTAGAGTCGGCAAATAATTTCTATGTTTTTATTCAAAGCGGCGTTTGAGTTGCAAATGTCCTTGGCGACGTCCATGCATGCCTCCCTTGGTGATTGAAATCGATAACCGTGGTCGAGGTAGCCACGAGGTCTCGGAAGTCATCATTATTGACCGTGTGGGAGGAACTTAGCAGAGATTGGATGACATTCCTAAGGAATCACCTTAGTACCTCACGGACGGCCTACCCCTGTGGCCGGCCGTGTATTTTGCTGCGAGAAAAAAAAAATCGCGTGCTATCAGTTGTGCCTGAAAAATTCGATCTTCGCGCCATGATGAAAAGTGAGTGCGGCGTTACGTACAGAAATTGATGTCAACGTCGTTTTTTGGAAAGGGAGTTAATACCTCAATGTGTCGTTGGTGTTTTAAATGTATAGAAGACGTATTTGATACATCTGGGGTATTTAATGTACTGCGCGCTTTTCCGAGGGTAGCAGAAAAGGGGCAGAAGAATAGGGCCGCGCAATGCGCAGCGAGGTGATTTCTTCGGTGACAGTTTATTCGGGGCATTCTTTGGTAAAGTAAAATTCTCGTATGTTTCCTTTCAGAGGAGATCGCGGCCACCCCGCCAGTGCCTCCCCGGCGTAAAAAGCGAAAAAGCAAGACAGTGCCAAGAGTGGAATCTACTTTGGAGCCGGTGTCCAAACCGGAGCGGAAACCGCGTTTACCTCCGCCACCTCCGCCTTCTCAGACCCCCGGAGGGAGGGACCCACCTCCAACGAGCGACTATCGTTCGCATTCAATTACATCGGAGAAATCGACGTCCAACGGGACGGAAAGCAATTTCCAGGCTCGTCCCGGCCGGATCGGGGAAAATTTCGAAACCGTGGAAACGCCATCTCCGGAGGTCTTCGATGACGCCATTCCGCCAGCTAGCTCGGAAACGACCCAGGAAAATCATATGAAACCATCTTTGGAGACACTTGACACTGCCACGCCACGGAACTGGGGTCACGATATGGGATTCGCCGTTTCCGGGAGCAGATCAGCTGTGAACAAATATCCGCCGCTCTTCTTCACTCTTCAGGATTTCCAGGAAGTGATGGCGGACTCGATGCCGAAGGAAGAGTCAAATGGATCCCATTTGCGGAACGAAGTGGAGCCATCGAGGGATCGCTCGCTGATCGCATTTCTGGAACAGTCTCTGGACTGCGAAGACGAAGACGTCTGCTTCAGGGTGACCACCACGAACGTACCTTTCGAAAAGTGTCTTAATAGTTGGAACGTCTCCTTCGAGAGTTGCGAATTTCCCGGAGAGATCGAGGCGAATCGGTACATCTTTGAGGATTATATCGACAGAGGGAAGAGGTTGCCGAGGAAGCAACCTCCTTCGACCTTATTTAGTGACGAGGTCTTCGATAGTAACGACGCCGAGAGCATATCCACCAGTCATTCCGCTACCAGGGTCAGATTCGTCATCGAATCTCCCAGCTCGTCGACTCCCGACGAAACCGATTGGGAAAACAGAATCTCGGATAGTCTTCAAAATGTCGAATCCATCCGTACCGATGGCGGGGATGACGCGCAGGCGTATTATGAACCTCCGAAATTGGTAGAAATTTTTCACTCCTCTTTGCACGAGGAGAAAAAGAATAGCTGCGAATCCTCTATGGTCCAGAGAACCGATGATTTTCATGACGTTCCTTTTGATAAGCCAACGGAACTGGAGGATGAGAAAAAGTACCTTGGAGACCAGATAGTAGAATCTGAATTATCACCTAGTAAAAATGATCTCAAGAATCGCAAACGATCTCGCGACAATGACGCGACTTTGGTATCTTTTAAACACATTGACGAGACAATTGTTGAAGCTTGTGTAGTAGCTACGCCAGTAATTTTAACGAATGACGATGAAATAGATACGAGCGCTTCGAATCCCTCGTTTGAAAATGTTGGAGTGTTATATACTGGCAATGTTGGCCTTTTAACAGGTTTAAACACAATAAATTTGATGAAATGTGAGAATAGCACGCGTCAAGACGAGTCGCAAGTAAATCAAACAGGAATTCTTGAATACGTAACGAGTAAAGATGTCTCTATAGATGATAATAATAGCAGGAAAGAGAAAGACATCGACTATTCCATTGTTCATAAGATACCGACTCCCAAACTCTTCAAAGACGAACCGCAAGAAAATGAACCACCTTGCCTTGTAAAACCAGTCGAACACAAGAACCCGGAAGTGAAGAAGAGGACAATTTTTATCAGCGAATCATTGCGCGATTTTATAAATACCGATGATACGGAAAGTTTCGAATCAGCGGCTGACGAGAGCGAAATGGATGACAATATTAATAGCGTTCCACCTCTCATGAATCCCCGTATTGTGCAACGGAGAGCGCGACAACCTGGCACGAGCGTTTGGGGCGATGAGGAAAAGCACCCAGGAGAGATATCCGAGGAGAAAGGAGCGCCGGAACCAACCAGCGAGAACGCCAAAGCGAAGAAAAGAATTCCAGCCGACTTTAAAGAGGCCGAAGAGAGCCACGAGAAGCGACCAACCCCGTTCCCCCTCGAGCTTCCAAAAGATGTAGAAGAAGGCCCGAAAAAGATGACCGAAACCTTGGAAAACGGGGTCCCGGTGAACGTGCGTCGCAACTTCTTCCTGGAGAACATGTTGGAGGACGAGTCCTTGGACGACCCGTGGGTCTCTTCGGCATCCTGCGAGGTGATCGCGGCGCACCCGAAGCCGGCCACTCGAGCTCGTTCGGGCGTCCCGTGGGAAGGTGGAGGAGCGAAGGAGAAAATCGAAGCACCGGGTCCGAGACCCGCCGACCCTGTCCCCACCCCGGAAGCCACCAAGAAGGTTTCCCCGAAGAAATCCGACGAGGCGGGCTTAAGCGCGGAACCAGTCGGTGTTGGTCCGAAGCCAAACGCGGATGGGCTCGCTTCGGGGCGCAAGAAGAGCGCCGGCGAGGCGAAAAGCGACGTCCTGAACGAGCTGTTATGTAAATTTAGTGCGATCCGATTAAGACCGGTACCCGAAGGGCGCGAGGACGGTTCAGGTTGTGCGCCGCCCGGGCGGAAAGATAGGGATGTAGATAGTAACTTAGAGGAGGCCGTTGTTAACCATAGTCAGAGCGAAGCACCGATCGTGTCGATGTGGAGGCCTGGTGGGGTCGGTACCTCCGAGGACTCGGAAATTACCCTCGAGGACGAGGGGCGGCAGGAAAACGCCGGTATCGGCGACCTCCAGGGAGCGTCCTGCGGACGGTTCTCCAAGATGGCCGCCGCCGCGCCTCCGGCCGGCACGATCGATGGCCGCCAGCAGTGTGCCATAGCTAGGGGAACTCCTGTAATCCGATGTAATAATAACGACAATAACGCCGCAACCCCCGTAGCCGTAAGTTCCGACCAATCCCGTGCCGATGTATCGATAGCCCCCGGTAGCGTTAGGAGCTTCGTCGAGTACTACGAGACGAGCAGCTATTCTAAAAGTATCGGTAGCAACCCGGTAGCTAGGGACCCACTTGAACGTACCGGAAGGACTAGACCCGTGGGACCGTTCGCGCCGGAGAGAGACAAGTCTGCACGCCAAGTGCATCTTCCTGGTGATGCCGGTCCGATGGACCAGGTTCCCCCGGACACCAGTGCCAGGAGGATAGACAACGACATCTCGTACACGGTGGTCGCGAGACACCTCGTCCACCTGGGGACCGATCCCTTCGTCTCCTTGCTCGAAAATCGGTCCTTGACCGGATGCAAAACCTCTTCGGCTCCTCGAAGGAGCGACAGCAAGAAGAGCGTGCAATTTCGCAGTGGGTGCACCGTAATGGGACGGTCTACACCTGAGGTGGACCAGGAGGCATCCCCTGAGGGAGGTACCAAACCGAGGGCGAAGAGGAGGGCCCCGGAAAGGCCATCGGGGGATAATACGGATCCCGAGGGTGGAAAGGACGAGACTTTGCTACTTCTCAGGGTCCCTCCACCGAGGATCAAGGTTGAACACTGCCCCGATCCGCCGATGGAGGAGAAAATCGATCAGGTTGGTGTGGCTTCCGACGTTTGTCGGTTTCAAACGGCGTTGCCGTGGATAGATGTCTTTTCGTTGGTCCTCGTCGTTAGATCCCTTCGGCTTTGACTTGGATCTGAAAAAAAAAAAAAAAAAAATATTTGTATCGTTCGGAATAAAATGAATATTGGAGCAGCGTTGATATTCTTTAGAGATGGTTCCGTGCGGACTCGTGTTACGGATTAATGTGTGTATAAATGAGACAGCAGCTGCAACGCGCGGGATTTATATCCTGGGAGATTTAATTTTCTTCCTCCTTTCGTTCTTTTGCTTTTTTACTTGGTTTCGTAATTTCGTAATTTTCTTCCCGAGTTTCATGATTTGAAAAGCTCGTAACGTGATTTTATTGCGTGTTGAATTCGCTGCAAACACCCCTTTGATGGCGTTGACATTAATTCTCGAGGGAATGGGATCTAATGAATCCAGTCAGTGGCAAAGTTTAACGCAATTATCCGAAACCTGGTTTTATCAGCTGAAGTTTAACTACCACGTAACGAGAAGTTTAGTTCTCCCCAAACCGGAACTGACGACTGGGTGATAGATTCTAATATGGCTCGTAATCGTTTCGAGTAAATTAAGGCACTCCGAGAGGTCGCAGGTGTTCCTATAAATTACATATAGAATTATATTTAAAAAAAATTAGTCGGGAAGATACCTCTAGATCGGATCGAAAACCTAGAAAATCTGATCTTTTACCTGATATTCATGAAAGATTAATGGAAGAATCTTTTCATTTTCAGACTGGAGAAACATCGGCGGCCAAGGAGAATCACTCGATATCAGGTATCGCTCGTTCTCTTCCCCCGTCCTCGGTTTCGTACGTCGATCAGCGAGTCGTTTTTTACTGTACGGTGTAGACCACGCGTAGTTGTTGCAACCAATTTCCTAGATCCGGTTGATTAAAACCCTTCCCCGAAACTCGAAATTGCAGGCTGAGAACTCGGGGAACTTCCCGGAAGAAAGTTCCCCGACGAAAGTCGGTGTCTTCCTCTTCCTAGCACCGGCGTCACGAGGCTCGGAAAAGTAATTTAACCAGCTGATCGTGATTAGTCGGTTGTAATGACGGAATGAGAAGCTGCACGGGTCCTCGCGACCGGATGCACCTGCCGATCACCGCGATCGGCAGTTATCTCCTAAACGGTGTCTATTAATCGTATCTTAAGGAGGTCGAAGACTACTTAAGCGTCGTAGATGACAATTGTTTCGGTCGCACTTACGGTCGTTCGATAATAAAGCTACGACAACGAGAAGGATTCCCGCGATGGTACATATCTTGAGGAGAGGTGCGAATTACGATTTTTTCACGACCTCGAGGGCCGACCCGCTTAACTCGAGATCTTCCTTTTTTAAGGGCTGGAAATGTCGCGATGCTCATGTAAAAAGTCAGAATTTAAGCTTCGACGTTAAGTTGTACTTTCGTTAGTTACTTAGGTTGTCGACTTTCTTGAAGTACCGTCGAAGTCGGCTTCGCTGAAGGTTTCGCCAAGGAGGTACGATCTCTTGGTAAAGGATTTACGGTGACGATTTCGTGTAACGATTTTTTGCGAACAGTTCGTGTAAAGATGTTTCCTCTTTCCTTTTCTTTTTCTCTGCGATGAATTCGTGTAAAGATTTAAGGCGACTGGGGAGGATATCGTCACGACGTGTCGTGTAATTGTAATTAAGCATCGAGAGTAGGCTGGAAGTAAGTGCATAAGTAGAATTAGAGAGGAGAGTAGTTACGTTGGTAAGGCTGCTGTGTTGTAAGTAGCTCGCAGAATACGCAATGTAGATCTTAGTGGTTTCCTTTACACGTGCAATCCCGAGGCGAAAATGTGCAGGGGCGAGTGCACTTTGTCTTCGTTGTCGTCGTTATCACGTTATCGCGTTGTCCTCGCGTAGGCAATTGCAGAAAGCTTGGCGAGTATGCGTGCGCGGTCGGCGCGTGTGTGCATGTGAATCGTGTTCTTACAGAGGGACGATTAGTGGTGCGACGTGAAATCTTTTTTTCGTTGATAGTGGGACATTTTATATCGTTACTTTAGATAGGAGATTAACCAGGAGATCATTAACCGGCGTATTCAATTGAAAAACCGAGGTACCTATACAGGTCGCATCGGTGGCGTGCGAGTACGAGGCGTTGTTACCACTTTCGTTTGTAACGAGGAACGGAGGATTTAGGAAAATTTAATTTTCCATCGAAACGCGACGAACGCTGGAATGCTTTTGTAATAATTGACGAGATTTCCGAGGGCTGCTTTCAATTCAAAATTAATATCCAACGCTGGGAATATTTCGACCCTCTTTCTGAGATACGACAAAGGTATACGTTATCAGGGAACATTCGAAAGTAACTTCCGATCGGAAGATTGAATTCTTTGGAGAATATACATTTAGCATTAAAATTAACTGCTCCACTTCGAAGTTGAAATTGAACTCGCGATTTAAACGGTGGAGTACTCGCACGCCTTTAGTTCTCGTCAGCTCTTCGAGCGCTTCACTTAAGTGCAAACTACTACAAACAGTAATTTTGGAGGCTAAAACCCTAGGGAACGCTCAACGACGTTCGAGGATCGTGCGCAAGATCGTGTTGACACCGAACACGGATCAATCGTTATTGTTTTATACGCGATCGTAGTGACAACTCGTTATCGGAACGTAGAGCCGCAATTTTTTTTCGGCTTTCTTTAACCGCATACGAGAGCTTCCACCACGTTAGAAGTCGACTGACGGCTGCGTTTAATTTTTCGCCGACATCGCTGCGATCCGCTACACCTTTATACATTTCCCCGCTGACTGCTGAATAAATTATTATTTTCTATGCTGTATAGAGAAGATCTTGTCCTCTGCGTTGCCCGCTGCCAAATCCGCCGACGTACTGCGGAGAATCCTTGGAACGATTTTCCCCAGAAGGGCGAAGGTCTCTCGTCCAAAAAAAGAAATCCCCCAAAAATACCAACTACTATTACCACCTAGGGAAAAATTCCCGGGGCACGGAAATGAATTCTAAATTATTTGTGGAAGTATTCCCGTAAAGTGGGTAAAGGGGTAAACTCTGAATAATTAAAATACAAAGTAAATGTCAGAATCCAGGGCATGAAAAATTCATACACATATTTTAGCTGGCATCAACTTTATCCCGGATGTTAATTTACGAGACCGCGCAAAATAATCCAATTTTCCTGCGTTACTTCCACGCACCATATTCCAGAGGCTGAACATTAATTATTCCCCGCGTTTGAGGTGGATAATTAAATTCTTCCTCCATTTATTTCGGCTACCCGGCGGAGTCTCGGCAAGCGACAAAATCATCTAGGGATTTATTATTTAATTTCTGATCGCCCGCGTGCTGGCCAAATCAGCAGGCACCGTGCATTGTCCTGGGGGTTGAAAGTTCCCAGCGATATATCCCACCTTGACACAGTTTTCGTCCCCGTATGCAAAGTCGGGACCGGAAAAGCCGGATTTCCGGAAACGCGAAACCAGCGTCGCAACTCGTGCCGGTAATTTCGTTTGTCTTTTTACGAAGGGAGGTCCCCGTTTCGAAAAGTACCCGGACGGTAGTCGGGGTGCACTCGGCCTGTAAACAAAAAGTTTCCGTCTCCACCAGCCCAAAACCGGGAAAACTAACTCGGGCTGCCCTCGAAGCCCAAGTTATCGAAAAGTTCCCTCCCGTCCTCCGGATCTCCCCGGGATGCTGAATGGAAGCTCTCGCACGAGAACACCGTCGTCTCGCGGGGCTTCTCTATTTTATTTTATTTTATTTTATTTTATTTTTTGCGTACGTCCCTCAAACTCAGCCAGAGAATAGATGGCACTTTTGCGGCCCTTTCCTTGCCAAGAGCAAGCCGCGCCGCGGTTCTTTATTAAATAGTCCGCCAATTAACTTGCCATTTAATTTCCGCCCTTCGCGGCGGTACAGGCTCCTGAAATTTCCTCGAATTTTATTCACCATATTAAGAAACTTGATAGAGCTTCGCGCCAAATATATATGTACATATAGAGGCGCGAAACACTGACCTAGTCATTAACTGCGATGTTTAGCCAGACGCGTCAAATTGGACAGAAAATGTCATTTTCTGAGCCTCTCGAATGAGTGATGTCAACTTTAATCAGGCCATCAAGCTTGGACTATTCATCCGCGTTTTTTGAGCCACGTTCCTATTTTCAATTAATTTTTTAATTTTTACACGTAACGTTAGATATATTAGGGACGGGTGGCCGCTCGAAGATATGTTTTGCGTAATATTTTAGGCAAATGATATTGAATTCATCGGATCATCGAAGACTTTCCTTGGCTTGCACTTTCGGCGAGCCACGACGTGACCGAGTACCATTCGCGATCGGCGCTTTATTAACAGGTCATACGTCGAATATCGAAATGCCCTGATTTATTTGCAGGTCAGGTATATACGTCCCGTTCATTTATTCGATAACGATGACACATGATATCGGCTTGGTTAAACCCGATGAATGTTTCACATCTCCGTGCTCCAGGGCGCTCCATACATACGTAGCCTGTCGGTTCGACGGGATCCACTAAATTAATGACGCTCTGCTGGAAATCGATGGATAATAGCTAACTGCGAGTACTTCGGCGCAAAGAAGTTTTATCGAGCTTGCCCGATGGAAAGAAAGAGCCCGGCAATCGAATTTCATCGGGATTTGATGATCCCTCCGTTGTGTCCTGCTGCACTTTCGTTAGACAGGCGCGAAGGAATACTGCTAATAAAAAATGATAAGAAAATAATTTCTAGAAAAAAAATAGAAAGAAAAGAAAAAGGGAACACCCGTCATATTGGTATCTTAACAAGAAGGCGTGTTGAGTGAAAGGTGCGACAGTAAATTAATTTTTCGACATTGAAACTGGATTTTTGGAAATAGTAACTTAATGTATTGGGGAGTAAAGTGGGGCAACTCTGTACAGGAGTGGCTGCAGGTAAAAGAGGATTGTTATCAATAGTGGGGAATTCAATTTTTATGACGGAAAGTAATTTCGGAAGTGCCGCCCGTGATGTGGTTCAACAATGTTTTCGAAGCTCCTAAAAATAAACGAGATCGCCGAAGGAACGAGCGTCGAGAATAAGCCTCTCTTTCGGTCAGGCTTAATTTGTCATTAGCACGATTAAAAAGCGGCAGGTGTTGGCGGTTAACGACATTTAATGAACTTTACCCCGTTCCAAAATTAACTCGGTCTCGCTAAAAGCTCCCCGGCGTATTCTAATAATACATGTCGAATGGATTTTTCGCGGCGATCGCCAGAAATAAGGCGTCGCTCGACGAAAGCAGGCCAGAAGATCTCGTTCAAGGTTTGCGAAAGTCTCGGATTTACGAAAAGCAGTCCCAGGGGGAAAATTGGAAACATATTTCTCGCGGGCAGATTGCCCTTCCTTGTTCCAGGAAGAATGCGCAAGATTTCCGAGCATTGCCGGACACCCGTCGGCGATCGGCCAGGATTTCTCAATGTTTAGTATGGACTTGGGCTCAAGTCCTGCCAAGTCCCGATGAGGGCAAGGATTCGTGAAAATTAGACCAAACGGACGGTTCCCTAATTCATTTCCGAGGAGATAAACGGATCGGGAGTGCGGCTGTTGAAACGAAACGCTCTCTGCAACTACTTTCATTAAAGCGGCCCCCACGGCAAAGAGGAACCCTTAGGAAAAGTACCTCTGTCTCTCGGAGGGTCGCCCCTGTTGTACGAACTTGTCGTTATTGCCGTTCACCAAGGGGGTGTGGATTATTTCCCACCCCCGACGTGGACCGCCTCGAACCTGTTCCCTACCGTTTGCTCCACTCCGAATTTGCATTTATACTTTGCCGGCTCGATTCTTCTCCTTCCTATTTATTCTTTCCTCTTGAACTTACCAGCGAGAGCCTCGCAGAAGGTTGTTTCCCTCCGAGAAGTAAATTAAATTCCCACGTTTCCCCTGGGAAAATAATCTCTCCCTCGTTTTTGAGATTAAAGACACCTAAGCGGGTGAACTTGACCCGATTGAAGGGGATGTATTGTTAGAGAGGAGTTTAAAATATTTTTTTTCCGATTGCCGCATATTTGTCTGGCGCGGAGGAGTGATAAAGAGGCACGGCTGAATATTCCGGTACCTCTTCATCGAATGGATCAACCTCCTCTTGATTGCGGATCGAATATTCGATTTGAAGGGGATATAGTAAATTAAGTAGGGGCTTACAATATTTGTTTCTTCGACCGTCGCAGTTTTTGGACGGTGCAGAGAGGTGATAAGGTGGCACGGCTGAATATTCAGGTACCTCTTCGTGAAATAGATCAAGGTCCTCTTGATTGCGGGTCGAATATCCGCGACGTGGAGCCCGAGGTATCGAGGGCTCCGACAAAAGCTCCTCCTATCCCGCTGATATTGAGAGAGTTTAAAAAGACCTCGTCGGCTGAGGACACTCGATATTCACTTTATTATCCGGCACACGTAGCCACCCCGGAGGCGCAGCCACCCCGAAGACGCAACCCGGAGGAGCCCCGCGTGGCAATAATTCATCCCGCTCGTCATCTCGATGGAAGCGATGGAAGCCCAGATGGAAAGGGGATGGGCATCTCAATACGAATCGCACAATGAAATGGATACTAAGGGAAGTAAATAAGGGTCGGGGGTGAATGCCGGCCGGGTATTTCTCCAGCATCGCTTTTCCGCCCCCGCGGGAGGAGCGTTTCATTAAATGTCCGCCAACACCGCGTCGAAGGGAGTCCATTATGTCCGACCCTTTCAACAGACTCGAAGCGTCCATCGGGAAAAAGGAACCCTTTCTGAATTTCCTTCCTCCGATTCCAAAGTCCATCGGGACGCGCAAACTCGGGCAGATTGAACAGGACATCCGGCCAGAACGAGGAAATTGCTTGGTCTTGTCCTGCGAATCGACCTTGATTATCTTAGTATCGACGGAAGGCTGAATAAACTTCCGCGGGAGAGACCCTTCGATATTCCAGAAAGCTTTCGATAGAGATTCCCCTTCGGGAAATGAAAGGTTAAGGGAACAGAACTCGAACCATATTCGCCGAGATTAGAAACAAGGAAATCGAGAAACGACCCGTAATCGAGACGCTAGCCGAATTACTCCTGCCACTTCTGCCAAGTTAACCCCACTACGTTTTACCTTGCCAAGAAAATATGTGAAACAGGTACCCCGTTAAAGATTCGAGGCGTTGCGCCGATCAGCTGTTCGCCGGGCGGCCATCTTGGTAGCGCGCACTCGCGGCACCTGGAGGCAGTCCAGCGGATCTGGTCCACTCTCCAGCTCCCCAGGGGAAGTTCTTCCCCTTGGGTTCCACTTCTCTCGGTATTTCTTGAGCCGATATCATCGTCCGCGTACGGAAATCAACCCCCAGGTTAAAATCCACCCCGTTCTGGAGAATATAAATTTCTTAAACCTGGAAATCGGTCGGCCATCCTGGGGTGTCTCTCCCTGTGACACGTCCCACGTGTTAGCATTCCTGCACCCTTCCCACGAATCTCGCGGGACTTATTTTAGGACCTGGATGACGACATCGGCGCTGCCGCTCCGAGCTACTCGCTCGCGTTTCGCTGCGTTCAGTGAGCGCGGAGGCGGTCGCACGATAAGTGCCCACGATCCATCGATCGATCGGTCGGTTTTTTGTTACTCGCGTCACGGCGCCGCGACGCCGACTCCGGTACGGCCGATCTCCCCTCCGAAATGTAATTACGCCCTCGATCGACCCGGCCGGCCATCATCCGGCGACCGACTCGAGCGAAATTGCTTTCGCCGGCCACTTTCTACCCGACGCACTTTTCGCATTTCGAGGCGCGACTTTCGAAGTTACCCGTTCATGCGATAAAAACTTAGAGCTTAGAACCAAAGAGGGGTCGAATCGGGGGGTCGCTTCCAGCTTCCAAGGGTTGTGAACCAAAGGGGCGTTTACCTAACCCCTTAAGGGTACCTCGATGTCAATGCGAAGATACGTGGATTTTGCCTCTATCGAACGTGGCGCATCGGTTGTGAAACGTGCTCCGACATAAATTTTCTTGACATTCTCTCTCAGTTAGTATTTATTTTAAATGGTTATTTATCATTAGTGCACTCTTCGTTTTTCGGCCCTCCACCCTAATTTCCTCGTAATTAATTCCGGTAATTAATCGGCTGCGAAACGTGACGTGATCTGAATTTTACGAAAATTAATTTTCGGTACTTGTTCATTTTTATTTATGATCCCGTTAATTTGCGAGTTGCGCTTCCTCGGTATTAATGGAGTCTTCGTGTTTTGGTAAACTCCAATTGGGGCTTCGCTTAATATATTTAGAAGACCCGATTCTGGGAAAATCTACCTCCTCTTAAAGTGTGGCAACGTGTGAGAATCTTAGCTAAGAGCTCGCGTAATGGGATCTAAAAACGCCTCGGACTGTCTTCTGCAATTGTGACTCCTCACGCACGGCTTGTCATCGGGGTAAAGCGATTTAAAAAAAAATCCCCAGGACGTTGCTAACCGGATCCGACGTTAAGTGCCTTCCAGATTAACGAACGCTATTTTTAAATTCATAAAATCCATTAGAACTACCCCGAATCCCTCTCTCCTCGATAACCCAATTCCAATCCCGAAGAACTTTTCCAACATCCTCACTTAAGCGAAACCGCGCATTTTCACTTCGGAAAATCCCCTCGATCGTCGCGTCAAAAATCCGATTTTTAATTTTTCTCTGCTTCTTCAGCATCCGATCAATCTCGTCAGGGCGATATTCTGATCGAACGCGAAGCTAAATCGGGATACACGACGTGAGAGGTTCTTAATATCGATAACACGCGTTAGCTACCCAACAAATGTCCGTTTATTAAGACAAGGTGATTAGCGTAACAAGGTAAAATTTAACCAACAAAAGAGAGACTATCAAGGTTTGATGAGCCTAAGTGAAAAAAGCCTAAGTTAAGGTGAAGTGAAACACCCTTCAAATCAGTCGATTTGAATACAACACTTTTTTTTAAGGGTATTAGACCAAACTGTCCGAAACTTTGACACATCACTCCTGATCATCTAAGAATTGTCCTGACACATTCAAAATTTGGATTTTTCAAAAAAAATTTTTTGACTCAGCCTAGATCAGGACCAAAATGGCGATGAGCTCTCATATTTCGATCAATATACAATTATCGAAGGCTCTGATATGAGAATCGAAAGGGCCAGGACAATTTTACGACAATTTAGAACACTCTGGTAATCGATAAACTCGTATTTGAACGGGATAAAGGCAAAAAAAGTGTTGTATGCGCTTGTATGCCAATACGATGGTAATACGAGGTCTCGAAGTGAAGACTTAATTGACCTGGAAATCACAGATGGCGTAGGGGATCCCTCTGCAGTAAATTAGGGCCCCAAAAAGCATGAATCTAGAGGATTTCTGGAGTTTTACTTTGATTTCTTTATAATTATTGTACGGAAACGACATATGGTGTACGCCATTTGGTACAATATCCAATATAATTTGACACAGCTGTCAATATAAAAACGAACGTCGGCAACGTAGGCATTTAGAAAAATCTTCTTTATCGACGTCGATCAAGTTCCTCGACGTGTTTCACTTCACCTTAAGGAGCGTCCCGAATGACGTCCTCAGTCCACCAAATCCTGAGCTGAACTGTAGTTTTTCGCCTTTTTAGAAACACACTTCGCCTGCATCTTGCCTTCGGGTGAGGAGCAACATTGTCGCCAAGTGTATCTCGAGTTGCAGGGTAGCACGCAGAAGTGCGCCCATAAATTCCCTGAAGAGGGTTTCCTAAAACTCTGAATTTTTCGAGTACATCTCCGTCATCAAGCAGTAAACTAGTAAAGAGGTCTTCGTTGAATTTAACCCTCATCGAGGACTCCCGCAGATTTATGCTGAGAATTGGCGACAATGGCCGCCCTTGCCTAAAAGACAGGCAAAATTCTCGAAAACACTAGAATATGTGCCGTCCAGGCGGAGGGCTTTCTCTGCGAGCTCCACGGAGCTCATCCTAAACACGGTCCACTTTTTACTCGGTGGAGGAAATATCCACGTCGGTATCGGACGTAAAGTAAACGCGTAGCGATTGATACTCCCCACCGAAAGCAGCTGCCAGGAGTGCAGGTGCATTTCGAGGTCGACTGAGCTTTTCTCGGTGGCTTTACGAAGAAATTTAAAGCCGCGGCGAGCGGAGGTTAAACTCGGAGTTCGGAGGGAAACGTCGTTTCCGGAGAGCGAGTCGGATCGTTCGAGGTGGCGTCAAGTTCGGTTGTTGTTTCCACGTCGAGATCGGGTTGTATTCCCAGGCGGGGCATTATTTTAAGGGCGCTTCTTCGAGGCGAGCGACCGAACGACCTCTCGGATATGTTCCATATAGACGGGCATATCGGGACCGACGACGCGTTATGGAGGGAAAACACTTTGCGGCGAGAAGTTCACTCGCCGTCCGAGGGTAGATAGCAAATAACGAGCAAGGTCAACATTTATTTATATCTGCCCAGAGTAAATATTTGGATTTAGGTATGACGCCGCGAGACCGAGACGAGAGTAGACACGGTTCGAGCTGAGAAGCTGGAATCGAGAAATAGGAGCTGTCAAATCTACCCCTTGGATTTCACAAAACCCGACAACCCCCTTCGAGCATCCGCCGCGTCTGAAGTCCTGCATTTAATTAACACCTCGATTTGATCCCCAATCCCCATAAAATCGCTCGACCGCCGTGCAGAGGAAAGCAAACATTAACCCACCCCAAGACGTGGTAAACATGCAGCACGTGATATTCCGGCGTTCCGAGTAATTAAAATCGCGTAAACGCGTGTGCTTTTTCCCAGGAGATGCACGGGGAGTTGAGTTAAATCAATAATTCCTAGGTACTTTAATTAGATCGAAACGAAAGCTACTCAAATGACTGGAACCCCCTGATACCGGAACGACGATCCTATCAGTGCAACAACTTCTTCCTAGGATACGTTGAGTGACATTCGCGTTGCCGTTTACCCGTGTACACGCATTAGAATCTAGTGAGGTGATAAAAATATACAAAAGCTGCCCCGAGCACCCGAAGGCTTTTAGATCTCCGGAAAACTCGCGCGAGAAGAGGGACGTCGAAAATGCGACCTCGGTTCCGATTTCCCCGCGCAAGAAACGTGGCGATGGAAGCACGTCAGCCAGACTCGCCCTGAAAGCATCTGGAAAACAAGGAAGACACTTTGGAGACGAGAGACGGTGTCTAGGTTGACGTTTTGCCAAGTTCGAAGTCGCGACGCCAGGTTTACGTAATCCACATAGCGGCCGATTATTCGACGAGTCTCTTCGGGATGACCGCTTCAAACGGGAGACAATAGACAGCCCCGAAGTAGGAAACAATCCGGGGATCAGCTCGGAAAAGCGACACCTCCGCAAAAACCAGAATCCTACTCAGTCCCCACGATATCCGTGGATTTCGTTCCGAGGTTACGCAACGAGGAAATTCCGAGGAGCCACGTCATCCGTCGTCTTTTACGAGCGTCGTCGTTAGGGCGATAAACCAGAAAGGAGCCAGCTAAAGGCCTTAACGACAGCCATGAAGAACGTGCATCCTCTCATCACGGCCACCACTTCGAACCCGGCAAGCCGATCGACGTCTCTGATCGAAGAGACCGATCCCATCATCAGATTGAGGCTGGACAAACCTCTACATTGGGACTGGGAGCTGACGACAACGGCGGACACGTTCCCAGTTGTCCAGCTGCTGGACAAAGATGGGAGGCTCCTGGTAGAGACGACTGGTCGCACCGCCCAAAGAGCCAGGGGGTCCTTCAAAGACGGTCTGAAGACGCTAGAGAAGTTCCCCAAAGTGGAAACCAGCTCTCATGTCAAGGTCGACGTCGCTCCTCAGGGTAACCGCAACATGGAGGGGTTCAGCACGAAGTTCGGCAGCTGTCAATTTGGGTACAAGCCTAGGAAGTCTAGGAGCGAGGCCACGGTGACCTCCAGAGAGGGGAAAGACAGGAGGGTGAAGAAGAGGCACTCTTCGGGGGTGGAGGTGGCGAAGAGCCTGGAGGACGAAGGATCGGCTCAGGGGAACACCTTGAAGAGGTACTCCACCGGGGAGTACTTGCGTCAGCAGATCGTCGACGGTCTTCGGAGTGGGTCCATCGGCAGGTCCCCCGAAGAGATCGCTGAAGAAAGGTGCCGGAGGGTGAAGGTGTACCTGAGGAGTCAGAGCGAGGTGGCTTCGTTGTCGAGAGACGAAGATGACGGAGGAGCCGAGGAGGTGGGAGAGAAGAGAGCCAGGCGTGAGAATGACCAGGTGGATGGAAAGGGGAGGACTAGACGGGAGGACCTGGAGCAGATAAAGAAGTTCCTGAGGGAGAGGATCAAGGAGAGCATGGTGAGGGAAAAGTTGCGATCCAGCGGATCCCAGCCGGTGATCGGCGCGGAGAAGGCAAAGAAGAGGCTGAAGGAGATTCAGGAGAAGTACTCGGAGGACGACGGACATTTTCGTCGACCTAGAAAAGCTCGCAGCGAAGCTAGCATCGGGGTCGACCCTGAGATAAACCAAGGAGAAGAAACTAGAAACGACCTACGGGAGTCGAATTCCAAAATTTATGACGAGACGTACGTTAAGGTACAGCATAAATCGGAAAACGACATCCTCGAAGAGGGTGCCATTGAGGGGAGGTCACGGTCCCACGGGTTCCAGTTGCCGGGGAATTCAGAAAGGGCGAAAGAGAAACTGAAGGAGATCAGGAAGAGGTATTCGGAGCAGACCAGGAGCATCAGAGACACCCACCGACCCAGGAAGGTGCGCAGCGAAGCGAGCATTCGATTCGACCCCGAGGTAGATGAGCGGGAAAGGAGTAAAACCGGGCTGCGGAAACACGAATCCTCGGGATTTGCAGAAGCATCGTCGAGGTCGCGGCGAGGTTCGAGAGGCGAGGTCCTCGAGGAGCCCCCGAGTCCTGGCCAGAGGGTCGTAAAGAGGAGCTCCACCGGATCCGACCGGCGGAAGGTCTATCGGAAGACGAAGAGCGACGTTCTGCTGAGCCACATGGAAAGCAGCCTAGATTCCGAAATGGACTCCCGAGGAACACCCAGGAGGATCAAGAGTCAAGAGAATTTGGAGCGCTCCTGGAAGGAGTACAAACAGAGGAAAAAGTACGAGAGGCTCCACAAGGATGGGGAGGCAGCCGTCGCCGAGGAGGACTTCATGGTCAAGCCCAGGTGGAAGGACTTCCAGAACGATTCCTGTCCCGTGAGGAACTGCAAGGTCTGCCAGAACCGAATGAATTGCACGAATCCCCTCGAACTTCCTCCCAGTGCAAAAGAAACGATCCACCAGGACGTTCGGGAACCTCGGGAGCAAACGAACGACGTGCCACCAAAGAACTCGATCATCTCGAAGCTTCGCGTGGACGGATGCAAAGCCGAAGAAGAAGACCTCAAGCCGTTGTCTTTGGACTGCGGCTACAATTCCGTCTCCAAAAACCCCGAGAAGGACTTCAATGAGCTCTACGCGCATTCTAACGTGAAGAAGAGCGACACCTTCAAGATCGTTGACGGGAGCGAAGACGTCGAAGATCCCTGCGATCGATCCGGGGATCCCAAGACCGTCCTCAATGACGATCTTTCTTCCTCCCAGGAGACCAGCTGGTTCCTGACGGATCAAACCAACGAAGACATAACGAAGGATTACTTCAAGCGCGTGTACGAGCTCCTGAAGCGCCGACAAGAGGAGGCGAGGAAGATCGCGGAGGGACGTAATTCCGTGATTTGTGACGACACCTCCTCGTCGACCTACCCGGAAGACGAGCAGCCGAAACGCCGAAGGCGCAGGAAGAAGGACAACAGCCCCCAAGGTAAGGTAAAAAGAAAGATTAAAAATGAATCCCCCCTCGTATTCGTCAATATGTATTCATCTTCGTCTATGACACGGCTAACCCAATGACGACTGAAAATAACGCATTAAACTAAGAATTAAAAATGGTGTTTATATTAGACCACATATTGGCGGTGACGTAGATTTGTACGTTCCAATCGGCTACAAAGACGGCAGATTTTTTTTAGATTCTAGTTAATCGGACGCAAGGTGAGCGGAACCGAAGACACTTTTTGCCAGGGGTTTAAAAATGTTTCTAGCGGAGAAACGCGTTTGTAATTTTGGAAGATGACGGGAAAGGTCGCGTCCATGCACGAGGACGCGGGCTCGTGTGGTGGAATGGCGGTTGAGGTCTTACGACGGGCTTTCAGCCAAACGGATTAGTGCCACGCCGTCACCGGCGGGCCTGCGAGAAACAGTTCTGTCGCAAGCTCGCGGTCCCTGCCAGCACATACGAACGAGAAGTTCTCGGTTCCTAGGTATTTTCGCTGTAAGTTGTTGCATGACACTTACAACGCTAGCTGGGAGCGAGGAGGAAACTGTACCGATGGGCGGACGTCTTCCGAGGTGGTCCAGATGGGATGATGGAATGGTTGGACAAATCTCGCTTTCACAACACGGGGATTCAACTTCGCAATTCCGAAAGCAAAGCACTTCTCCTTTTCACTATTTATTTTGAGAAGATATTTCTAAATTACCAGTCCACTATCGGTAGATGGAATTTTATCTAACGTGAAATGCAGCCTGGATTTATTTCAAATCACTTTTTGGTTACGCGCATTTTGGAGCTGATCGATCCGAACGCTGACCACATATTTTCCCTCTTTTTGAGGAACGTCATTTCGGTTAGCTAGTCCAGAGAATCGATGAAAAATTGGACCGTGAGTCCATAATTAAATGAAACGCGCTGTTAAACTAATAAAAAGGAGGGGGACTGACGTTCCCTCGGTGGCAATCGTCGAAAAACGGACGCGGGCCGCTTTGAGGCGCGTCCTCTTCTGCACTCTAATTTCGAAGTGCCCTGCCCCGAGGTCTGGCAAAAGAAGGAAGAGACTTGCACGCGTATCTTATGATAATTTCACGTGCTAGAAATTCATGAAAAACCTTCCGTGTCGGAGCTGCTGGCGCGAGTTTATTCGGGCCTTTTGCCTGGCGAATGCAGACGCGGTTCCGCCGGCCTCCTTCCCTCCCTTTCAGTCCCTCTCGAGGCTTCCCCAGGACGCGAATTAGCATCGCCAGAGTTAATTTTAAAAAGGAACTCGTGTTGCCCCCGATGGCAAACCTGACAGTGAAAAGTCTTGGTCGGTAGGACTTAGCCTGGCATTGGCAGTGAAACTCCAAGGCGCTGGCACTTCGACATCTTGCGCAATATCTCTCGATCCAAATTCGCACACAATGAACCTGCAACTCGCCTCGGAGTGCACCCCAAAAGCATCGACATTTGGCGCGAACTCGTTATCCATTAACATTGGCATTTCAAAACAATCGATTTCAAATCGGGATTGACCTAGGGAATTTTCAAGACCGCTCCTTGACACTATCTCAAAGTGTCATATCACCTTGAATCCAGTCCATTGATAAAACTGCATCTCTTTCGATTTTAGCACTACTCCCGCTAATTTTTACCCGGATGTAATATCCCGGAACATGAGCCAAAAAAATGGAAGAAAAGTCTCAGACAACTGGAATAAAAATCCACAATAAATCCTGAATAAATCGATTGATAATGCCATTTTTACTTTTAAATCCGCCATTCCGTGTCGGAGGACTTTATCAATTAGTTCTTGGTTTTTCACCGAGCAGGTCGTTTCGCGCTCGTGATTTTCACGGATTATGGTAACTTGGACCGGAACTAGCTTTTAGTCATTTGGTAATCGACGCGCAACAGGTCCTCGACACCAATCAAAATCGATCGACCGGTGCATTTAGAGCAGCGATTATCCGAAGGCCGGGTCAGGTATTTACTTCCCGTCCATGTGACTTATTAGCTGCACTCGCGATTAATCGCTTAATCCGGAAATCGCGGCCGGGCTTCTCCGCAAGAAGAGGGAAAAGAAGACGAAGGAGGCCAAGAGGGGCGGATTCATTCCCTCATCCTTCCAATTTGCGCCCGATGAATTTCGTCGTGCACCGCCGGTGGCTGCACGCGCGGCCGAAAAACAAAACCGAGGCAAAATAGAAACCCGAAGTGCATCCATGCAGCGCGGAATTCCTCGAGGGAATCGCGGCGGTGCATAAGAGAGAGGTTCTTTATGCCCCGCGACTTCCGGTCGAAATACCGCCGCTCCTCGTCGGAATCATGAGCGTTCCGCTCCGCGTTTCCGCGATTCCGTCAACAGCATTGCCGATCTGCATGGAAAGCAGTTCTGGGAAGAAAGATGCGGAAACGGGACGCAAGAAAAGCGGTCCACCCGATTCTTTCCTGTCTCCGGGAGGCATTTGTGTCTTTGATGAATGGATCGGAACAGTTAGGAACAATCGTTCAGTTCGATGTGGGATGCAGTTCCTGGGCCCGGGTCTTTATGCACTTTGGTACTACATAGAAGAGAAATGGAAAATTATCAAAAATTCCTAATTCACAATACCGTTAAATAATTGATCTTCAAGACACCCTATGCCGAACTGTGATGCATAATGTGCCGGTAATTATGAATGTGGCCTAAGTTGATGATCTAAAGAAGTGACTTTTTCCCATATTTTGCGTTACGTATACCTAAACTGCAATATCGTTAAGTTGCTTTGGTAACAAAATGTATCACTTAGACCATTTTTATAATAATCGGCTCGAATATAGGTCTCGTTTCAAATGTTGTATTAAGGGTGCTAAACTATTTCACGATCGCAGTCTTTAGAGGTCCTCTGACCGTGTTATTAATTGTGAGAGCCCTTCACGCGTGCGGATTAATTTCTGAATTTTTTCTGCTTTCCGGGATCCTGTCAAGGGGTCTTACATTTCGGAGTCCGGATCCTTTCAGCGTACCCACTTGTCCGGTCCGACATGACGCGACGTGCAGAACAAATATGATTTCACCCTCATTTTTCTGCCGGTGCACTCCGCGGTGGTGAAGCGAGAAACCCTGGAAACCCTTTTTTAGTAAACCCTGAAGTGCTCCAACATAGTGGCGCGATTCCAGGGTGGTCCCCGATGTTTCGCGTTATTTCGCGTTATTTCATGGAAAGAATAAATAACACCGCGGGGACAATTCAAACGCAGGTTTTTCTTTATATGTATTTTTAGTGGCACAACGCATCCTGGGAATTCGAGGCACATTTTAACCGTGTGGTATAAAACTTGAATGATGACACCGGCTGGGGATGCTGGGCCAGAGAGAGAGGGAGAGGAGTGCTCGCATTAAACTCGCATTTTCCCAGCTTTAAGCTCAGGTTCCATTACAGAGATATTGCGTCGCCGCTGCGACCGCTTCGGCACGCAATTTCGGCCAGCTGATTACGAATTTTACACGTTCCTACGCAATCGGCCGGTACAACGCTTCGCAATTAAGGCAGCGAAAATGCGACCGGGGAAAATAAAAATTATAAGTATATGTAAATAAAATAAATGGCTGGATAAAAACTATGAAGTCACCTAAAATAGATCCAGGAAATATCTGAGCCCTGAAAGTGAGGTCTCGGAGTAGGTACTGTAATTACTTAAATTACGGGGAATCGATAGGTAGGACGATGGCGCGAGGAGGGCGAAATTACGTGGTCTGGCGAAATCGAGATATTTGGACACTTCTGAGAGGTCCTTGATGGGGTTCTTGAATTTTGTCACCAAGGTCAACTCATGGCCTCGGCCCAGAGTCCCATTAAGAGCGAGCAGTCACTTCAAACGCTTCGAGGACCTCAACCAAGCGGAAACGTGGAAGAACTTTTCGCTCGGTTTGATGAGAGCAGGTTGTACCGTTAAACGACGGTGGCTAAATACCGTGGAGTCCTTTAAGGAGACCCCGGAAAATGAGAAAAGGACCGTGGGAGAGAAGCTAAGTCAAGTTTCGTGCATGGAATTGCACGCCAGGCACCTACGTGTTCGCAAAGACCCAGCAGATGTACTGCGACAAAGTTCGAGTGTAAGCTGAAGTACTTGAAGACCAATCGGAGTTTGGGAATGGAGATAAGAGCAATTAGTGACGTTTAAATGTCAAGGACTGAAAACCGTGGAGGTCCTAGAGAAAGGAGAAAGGACCATGAGAGCGAAGCAAATTGGTGGACGTCCTTATTCGTAATCGCACGTCGAGCACCTATCAGGTTATAAAGGTCCAGACATAGAGAGACAAATTTCGAGTTCTAGCCGAAGTACGTCAGGACCAATCACGACCCGATAATGGGGATAAGAGCTTTAGAAGTGTACTTATGACCCAGGGGTAGAAACTCATTTTCCGTATACCGGCGGCTAGTAGGAGAAATATTTCCCTCGTCAAGTTCCGTGCAGACTTGAACGAGATGACTGCTTCTGAAGTGCCTCGATTTCTCACTTCTCTGGGAAGTAAGTTTGCACTTTGTCCGGCGGATTGGATATGATCTCTTTTTGATGGCTCTTTGGAGGACGGTCTAATTTTCTTCGGATGAGATCATCGTTGATCAGCTGAAGGAAGCATTTCCTCATTTTTCTGACAGCTATATTACATCTTAAGATTCGAAGCTCTTATTTACTCCTCCGTTTTGGAATCCTCGAGCAACATCCTCCCCATGAGTGGTTGAGCATGGAAGTCCTCCACCCTTAAAAAGTCAGCTCCCTGTCCGCGTCTCGCTGAACTCGGTTTCCAGGACTTCGATAAATTCTTCATGCACGTTACTTGCCACATCGGTAGGTTTTATGTCAGCCGGGAACCATATTTCAACTTCTGAACGGATACGTTTCCTATTCACAAGATGGCTATTGTTTATTCCCGTGGTACGTCAGCGATCCTGAAAAATATGTCCCACCAACATCCTACCTATCATATAAAGCACTTCTGGTTTCTTCTCCCTCGCAATTGC